TTCAAGAAAATCGCCAGGTTCGTCCCACCTTCAGCCATACCGGAGCATTTTGGCGTTAAAAGAAAACAAATAATTAATAAAATATTCAGAATTTCAAAGATGATCAGGTGTGGATACATATGTTCCATTTTGATCGATTTTGGGTTTTTATTTAGGATTTCGAGCTAATAACTTCCAACATTTCAAAGATCCCAGGGAAGAAGTTTACAATTTGTTTCACAAATTAAATCAGCTATTAGACTTAATGGATAATTGTTATATCTTGATCTAACCACCCTTGAGCTTCAGCACATTTTAATCAGAAAGTAATAAATTGATAAGATGTTTAATAGTGCTTAAAAGGCTCTTTCCATCCATATGTGGACGTCCTTTTACTGTACAGACAAACTTCACGAAGTAGTTTATTAAAAGCGGCGTTCCAAGCTTTTTCACAATCAAATTTTCGCCATTATTCCCTCCACTATTTCTACTTTGGAATTATACTCTCTGTAGCCTTTGTCGTAATTATAAAACCTTCAAAGTTTAACCTTGAAAATGGGTTTCAAAAAGGTACGATAACCTATTGCTATATCCTTTCTCTATGAACGACATTAATTTAAGATACAACTGACAAAAACGTGGTTGACAAGCATTTATTTATGTCATACATATGAAATTGTTACATCAGATGTACAGTCACCAGTGGATGTATGTAATCCATTATAGTGAAGTGATATGATGTATTATCAATACCTACAATAATAATACCCGTCTGAGTATTATAAGGAATCCAAGTAACAAAAATGACAAGATATCTGACGTGTTACAAGACACAGAGATTAATCATAGGGTAGATATTTAAACAGCATATTAATGTAGTCAGGGCGCGTGCTTAAATTCATCTAAACGTTAGCCATCCTTAAATTTAAACCCTCTTTATGTATACAAAGACAAGGTTGTTTTATGACGTGCTAATTTGAGCCATACGAGTTTCGAAGTAAACGACTGGTCCATTAGTTGATTTAGTAACGCTAGTCAATACAACGGGAATATTCGAAATACAACCGGGCACCAGGTGTCCTCACCACCACCCTTCGCCTTATGCTTCACCGATGATTGGCCCACCAAAAAACCAAACTATACATTAACGTTATCGTGACAACACAACAGCGTGGGTCATAAATTGAAGCAGAAGAACTTGGTTTCAAATGTTGATTACAGTTATGACCACATTCTCCCGGTGCTTTCGTTTTAATCAAGAGGTTTTGATGGTTAGGTGAGGAGTCGTTCAGTATACCATCTGTTGCCTCTCAAATAGTCAGACTGATAATGAATGTTACTCCCTGTCTTTAATTCGGCTCTCTTTGGATCGGAATAAGAAGACCAAGATACATAGGCAGTGTGAATACTATGGATCGGCAGAAACGTATCATGAATTCATATGGGAGTTGCATAAAACTCTTAGTGATTGAAGTGAAATAAAAGTATAATCCGCAGCCAGGTCTCGTGGGTCATGTAGCAGGAGCACCGGGCGGGTGACCTGGAGACCAGTAGTTCGAATCCTGCCACGGCCAAGAATTTCATTTAACCTACAATCGTGACCAACCTCGCCTGGTTAAGTAGTTCACTAGTTACTAGCAGGTTCTAAGCCCGGGTAAAGAGGTAAGGTTGGGCATAGGGCTAGCAACCCTACCCCGTAAAACAAATCCAATAGCTAAACAAACTTCAAAGGACAAGGAAAATATAAAACATAAAAACAAACGTATTCCTCGCTGGAATCGGAGAGACGAAATGACGCCGGTTGGTGAAAGACTTCGGGAAGCCAGTTGGCCGATGTGTCTTCTCTCGATGAAAGCGAAAGTAAACGTGGGGAAATGGAATGTCCGCACCATGTATGAACCTACCAACGCTGCCCAGATTGCAAAGCAGATGAGAAGGTATCGCATTGAAGTGTTAGGAATTTGCGTGAGCAGATGGAATGGAAGTGGATTCTCCGAACTGTCAACTGGAGAGGAGTCAATAATCTACTCCGGTCACCCAGACGACAACCACGAGCACACGGAGTTCTGCAGTGGCTATCATGATGTCCCCTTCTAGAGCACCAAAGGCTCTCATGCAGTGGAAACCGATCTCCTCCAGCATCAGGACAATGACAGCAAGATCCAACTCAAAAGGAAGGGAAGTCACAATCATTCAATGATACGCTACGCACCTACAAATGATGCAGATCAAGAGAAGAAGGAGGAATCCTATAGACAACTGCAATCAGTGATAGACAAGACTCCAGTTGGCGATATCAAAATTCTAATGGGCGACATGAATGCCAAACTGGGAGCAGACAACACAGGAAGAGAACTAACCATAGGTCGAGAAGCACTCATTGAAATGAACAAGAATGGAGAATTGTTTGCAGAATTCTGTGCATTCAACGATTTGGTGATTAGAGGCAGTGTGTTCCAGCATAAGGATATCCAAAAAGCGACATGGATTTCACCAGACACCAGGACACACTAAGAATCAAATCGATTTTATCTCAATCTCAAGAAAATGGAGACGCAGTCAGCCTACTTGACACAAGGTCAAGAAGAGGAGCAGATGTAGGTTCAGACCACTATCTAGTGCAAGGAACCTACCTTCAAAATCAAGTTGAAAGCCTTCAAGGAAGCTGATGATAGACCACAGTTCAAGTTCAACACCCAGAACGGAAACTGAAGGACAAAACTAAAAAGGACATCTTCACGTCAGTCAGTCATCAGGAAAAAAGTGGGAGACATTGAACAACATCCCTGAAGGAACCTGCATGAAAGAACACTGGAACTCCTTGGAAGCTATGTGGAAATAAACCTACATAACCATATTAGGAAGGAAGAAGAAAGAAGTCAGGACAAGAAATGGATCTCGACGGACACATGGAAGCTGACAGAGGAGAAGAGGATGGTGAAGCAGAAGATAAACCAGTGCAAGGTTGCACAATGAGAAGAGGAACTGAGTACAACGTATAAAACACTACACTGAACAAAGAAGTGAAGAAGAGTGTGTGCAAAGACAAAAGACACTTCTACGACACATTGGCAAGTCAAGCAGAACAGGCTGCAGGTAGGAGAGACAGAGACCTGACAACATTGTATCAAATAACCAGGTTACTATCTGGGAAGAGATCAAAACACATGAAACCAATAAAAGACGACGACGAAAATTTAATTACCAAAGAAGAGAAACAAAGGAAACGATGGGTCGACCACTTCAAAAAGCTCTTGAATCGACCACCACCTGCACTTCGTCCAGAAATACCACCTGCAGCCCAGTCACAGAACTACAAGTGAACATAAATCCTCCAACAAAAATGGAAGTCCTGAGCGCCATAAAGCTACTGAAATGCGGGAAAGCAGCAGGACCAGATAGAATTCCGCCAGAAGAACTGGAAACGGACGCAGAGACAACAGCAGACATGCTCACACCACTACTGCAGAAGGTTTGAAAGGAGGAAAAAATACCTGCAGATTGGAAGAAGGGCTACCTTGTCAAAGTCCCAAAGAAGGGAGACCTAAGTCTTTGCGAGAACTAGCGCGGAATCACGCTCCTGTCCACTCCAAGCAAAATATTAAGCCGCATCACCCTGGAGAGACTAAACGGTGCGCTGGATTCAAAATTACAACCCGAACAGGCTGGAAGTACAAATCATGTGCGGACCAAATTGCAACGCTTCGCATCATCATAGAACAGAGCATAGAATGGCAGTCAACTCTACACCTCAACTTCATCGACTTTGAGATGGCCTTTGACAGCGTCGACCGAGAGGTAATTTGGAAACTGCTTCAACACTACGGAGTGCCCACTAATCTTTATCAACCTCATTCAACAACTATATGAAGACGCCACATGCCAAGTAATTCACAATGGGAAGCTCAGTGATGCTTTTGAAGTGAAGACAGGAGTGAAACAAGGCTGCCTACTATCACCCATGATATTCATGATTGTAGTGGACTGGATCATGCAACAAACAGTGAGGAGCGAGAAGAGAGGGATGCGCTGTTCGACCGATGAGAAGACCGTAGAAGATTTGGAATTCGCCGACGACTTGTGTCTAATATCACACAAACTTGAAGATCTACAGGCGAAATCCAACAAGTTGACAGAAGAGGCAGGGCAGCGAAGACGGTACTTCAAGTGAACGTAGAGAAGACAGAGGTGATGAAGATACCCAACCAACAACAACAAGCTCCAATCACCATTAACGGGAGAAACTTAAAGGAAGTAACCTCCTTCACCTATCTAGGAAGCACTGTTTCAACTACAGGCGGCGGCACAGACGAGGATGTCAAAGCCAGGATCGGAAAAGCAAGACAGGCTTTCATTAATCGGAAATTAGCGTGGAGATCTACTGCACTCAGCATATGGAACAAGGTCCGGATTTTCAACACCAATCCAGTCAAGTCAGTGCTGCTATATGGTTCAGAAACTTGGCATGTCACAATAAGCATTTCCAACAAACTGCAGACATTCATCAACAGCTGCCTACGCTCGATACTGAAGATCAGATCAGATGGCCAGGAAGAATAAGCAACAAGGAACTCTGGCAACGAACCAACCAACCAAGAACCTATCACGCAACAAATATGCAGAAGGAAGTGGAGATGGATTGGACATACACTGAGAAGGCCGACTGGGGACATCGCGCGCCACGCCCTCGAGTGGAACCCTAAGGGAAAACAATGAGTTGGGTGTCCGAGGTGAGGGTGACATGGAGGAGATCATATGAGGAAGAAATGAAAGCCTGTGGGCAGTCGTGGAGCCAGGTTCAAATGTTTGCAGAGAACAGAATGCAACGGAGATGTGCTGCTGATGCGCGATTTTTCACTAGGAACCCAAGGGGAAATAATGCTAGTCAGTCGTGATCTAGTTTCACTATCAGCGGTTTGCCAAACTGCAGCTGTCTCAGAGAGTTAATCTGTGATTATTTTCTTTTAAAAATCGTTTTCGATTTTTCCCCACTTGTAACTGGTTGTTGATTATGTTTGCAGAAAAATATATTGTCAGGGAACCTCAGCTGCGTACATTTCTTTGTCGCTTAGTGGAAAATAATAAGAAGTTATTTGTGGTTTCAAACAGTTCAGCTGCTTACATGTATGTCTATGTCTTTTAAATTAAAACATTTGTTTGAAAGTTTTGTTCTTTATATGAAGTTTGTAAATGTTCACCTCCGAGTATATATCTAATCCATGATGCTAAATGAAGGATTCGTCTTATTCTGTAGTGGAAAATTTTTTACTCAAGATAGTTTTGTTGTTAAATGGTGAAATATTCAAGTCAGAAATGTTACCATGTTGTATAAGACGTATTCTATTTGCGTAATCCTGGCCTCCTATATTAGAACATCTGGCAAAATAAATACTTTTATTATTTCCTTGATCTTCCTAGGAATACTCTTTTCAAGAGTACATCTGATATTAGATTTTATTTATTTGTTAATATTCAAGTTTTTGATCTTTATGATCTTCAGTTTAGATGGTTTCATAGAAAACGTCATTTCCCCCTCACTTAACAGGTTGGCATTTATGGCTGGTGCCTAACATCGTTTTACGTTTCCGACTTGATCGTATAGTTAACGGACTGAGTGTTATTCAAAGAAATTTGTCCCTTTTATAAATCTGAACAGCGTAATGAGAAGACAAGAATTGTTTGAAACACGTGATGTATCAGCGTTATACATTTCGAACAATCTCATCACACATAGACTTGTCGGAGTATCTATACGAAAATTTACGAAAAGGGTCAATTAAGTCAATAGGAAACATGAGAATAGGAAGGGGAGAGAAAAACCGAAATCTAAATCACATCACTCATGGTATGAAAGTTAAAACCAATACTACCAAGGTAGGTTTAACGTGAGTACAGATTGCTATTTTGTGAAAAGCCTGACGATGTGATGTGCCTGCTAGAGAAGATGAACATGGCTAAAAATCACATTAGCCTTACTCGTGAACAAGAGACGAACAACCAGCTACCATTCTCAAACATGGTGCCTAATCGACGGTAGGATGGCTCGATCAGAAGGTCTGGCTGTAGGAAGCCTAAGTGGACAACACCTTAGTTACCAAAGCTATTACCCAGTCTAAAATAAACGTGGTTTAGTTACGTGCTTATCCAACAGAATAAACCACATCTCCGCAGATGACATGAAAAAGGAAGAAACCAAGTTACTGACGACAACACTGAAACAGAATGGCTACCCGTTGAAATTTACCAACAGGCGCATTGAAAGGTATGCAGAGTTCCTTCCCTAAGAAAAATGTACACATTTCATAACCCCTTAGAAATGATTCATATAGCTTTACTGTGAGAAAAAGACTTAGATCAGCCATCAGTAGAACATATCATGCAGCGAAGGGCATCATTGTAGTGTAGACCAAATCCGTGTTGCAGCACGAAACAAAACAACACATAAACGATTTCATCACACCCCACTATGTTTAGCAATTTACATATATGTGTGGAAACATATACATAGGGAGGGTTAATCGTTAGATGAAGTTAAGGGCGGTTGAACATGTACCTAAGTCGGTTCAAAAAAATGACCTCAACAGAGCCGATAAATGCAGATGCCAAACGTCCATCTTCATCTATACTAAACAAATACTAGAAACTAGCCACAGGGTAGGTATGGGAACAGCTCTTAAAGTACCACATAAAAGTGGTCAGAGCCGAGTGCTAAAGGTTATTGAAGCTGTTGCTATCAAACTCGCTTTATGTATACAAAAACAGTTTATACTCACGTTGAACCTATCTTGGTAGTATTGTCTTTAATTTTAATACTAAGAATGATGTGATTTAGGTTTCGCTTTTTCTCTGCCATTTCTGTTCTTATATTGTCAATAAGCCGTGCGGCTTAATCCTACTGCTTCTAACGTCATACCCAATGACTCAGGGCGAAGATAGGCAGACTGCTAGGTTAGACCACACAATCAATCACGTTGTATTTCCTGAAAATTTATGCAAAATAAACAAAGCCTTATAAAAGCGCAGGCGGCCCACTCAGAATTTTAAAAGGAGAACGAATGACACATTAAGGACATTTGTGATTGATTGCTTGTTACTCTCATTCTTATTGGGTACGGAAACCACAATTGTTACTTAGGTGATTTAGCAAATTGGGGAAAAGGATTGATTGAGCGAAGAAATGTTTTTTCTTTTTCATTGGTTCTTCGTCTTTGGCTGTATACTAACATAAAGGCTCGTTATTCGTGTCAAAATACCAGTCAATTGGTAAAGTGTTGATCAGCAGCAATAACTATAGATTGAGAAATCAAGATGCAAATAATCAGCAGAGCAACTATGCGTGGTTGAAAATAGCAATTATAATGATGTGAAACAGACTATTCGTTGGTAAGTGATATAGTAACCGGTAAAGTAAACGGAGTGTTTTTTCTCGAGTCGTCAGAAGTAGATAGTGAAGGTATAATTGCGTAAGAATAAGGAAGCAGGTGAATATTAACCAAATAAGAAGGAGGAGAGGGGCATAAAGTCAAACTAGAAGTTACATCATGTTTTGACGACCAGGGTAATGCAAGTGGTTGAACAAATTTCTTTTGAATACAATGGTTAGGCTTGTAAAGGTGGATTGGAATTGCCTCTGCCATGAGAAGTAGACGAATGCGTAATTGATGTGATAAATTAGTTGTTATACGATAAATAATTTTAAATGCTTTGCTAGCATCCACTTGATAACCACTGTTAACTAAGTGTTCAAGGGTACATTCTTTGTTATCCTAATCTACCCCTTATTCCACCATGATGGGCTGTGCTCAGAAATTCGATGATGGATCTACCTCACCGTACATCCCATGTAACCTCTACAGGAGCAGTTGTACGAGTAAATACACATGGAAGGAAGTGGCAGAGCCTGGTAGTCTGTCTTTGCTTTTTGCACCTAGAGTCGAGCGGCTGTGGAAGATGGGACAGTTTAGCGGCTTAGAATGCATTTGTAGGGCTGTTTTTATGCGTTGCGTGATGATCTCGCTAACAGCGTCCCCCTTGCATTCCAGTTCCAAGAAGATTTACTTCTTAGGAACTGTTGACATCCTTGTCTTAAACTTCGTAACATTCATAGGCGTAGTTACAAGCTTTTCTCGATAATCATTTCTTCCAAGCGGGTCACTGATGATGGCGAACTCTACACCTATAGCGTCATCAAAGCAAATGGCTATGGCACGATATGCCTAGCATTTCACCAGGTTATGCTTGTGTTGGGAGGGAGGGGAGTGCGTGTTGCTGTCCTTCTATATATACCTCGTTTCAAGGTTCCATCTAACCTTCTTGACAATAATAATGAAACTAACAATAACAATAATAGAGAAAAATGCCTTATTCCAAACAACACGTATGGTATAGTATGGAATTCTCAGCATGGAATAGTTCAACAAATTCATTCCCTGGACAGTATCTTTCAGCAAAATAATCATTGCAGTTGAATAATGTTAATAATAACAACGGTAGTAAGAGGCACAATGTGAAACAGGCACCTGGTATTACACAAACGTCTGGTTTGAACTGGTGAATGCCTAGAATATCGAACGTAATTTTGGTGGTGGTGGTAGCTTATTCAGCCAGTACCAAAACCTGTAATTCGACATAATTATTTGAAGGAGTTACTATATGTAAGTTTTAATATAATCACAGCATGTTTATTAACCACTACCTTAGTAATATTGACTTTAATTTTCATACCAAGAGTGATATGATTTAGATTTCGGTTTTTCTCTCCCCTTCCTATTCTCATGTTTCCTATTGACTTAATTGACCCTTTTCGTAAATTTTCGTATAGATACTCCGACAAGTCTATGTGTGATGAGATTGATACATCACGTGTTTTAATTTATCAAAGAGATCAATTGCTTTGAATTCTTAAATATCACTGAGCATATGGCAGAGACAAGGTTTCAGCAAAAGGATCTTGTTTTTGACTAAGATTTTCAGAGGATTTTTAATTTTATTATCATGTTCCTGCAACTGGATGCTTGCTAGTTCTACAGTTTGACGAGATGAACTTTGAGAAAGAAGTTTTAGATTTAAAACAAACAAAAAATTATTAGCAGTAAATAATCGCACTTACAGAGACATCTTGATACACATAAATGGGTTTGTAATTTATTCCACGTCGATCAAAAAACTATAAAGGAAAATCAAACCATTTAATCTCTTGGAAGTGTGACAATAATTAGCTGTTCGAACAGATGAAATTGAGTCAAAAAAAATGCAAAAAGTCTTAATTCTAAGTTGAAACGGCTACCCTACTTATACAGGACAAATTAGTCTTGAGTGCACAACTTCAAAATTGATAGATAATCGCATCGAAATGTTTTGGAAAGAAGGAGCCTGGGTTATCTGCATAAGGAATACTTCCGAATCATATCACTATCTTTCGACAGATGAACTGATGTAAAGCATTTATTCAGTGAATGGTCTTGATGAAATATTCCCGGTAGAAGATTTTTCTGTCACCCAAAGTTTACGGAAGCCGCCAGCTGAACATCAAGAAGTGGAATGCTGTGATTTCGCCCCTCTTCTTTAGTAAATTTGATTGTCGGACGGACACTGTTAAACTATCTAATTTTTGAAAAGTATTTGTGTATCATTCATTTTAAATCAGTGTTATTTTGACCGTCCGATCGTTCCATTTGTTGGATCTTTCTTAGATTTAACTTGAAGAAAATTTTCTAAGAGTGGGTTTTGGGGATGATCCCATAGCCGCGCCATCAGAAAGAATTCATTGTTGAGGAAGAAATCCGGATTCATTGTACATCTCTGAAGCAGCTCTTTCACGGTCGAGACAGGAATGCTGATTACCATTCAAGTAATGTGGTACAAAAATAGAGTGAGGAATTTCATTCATTTGCGGAATACACACTAGAGTGACGAGTCATCAGGTAGGGATAGGAGGAAATTACTATCAGAAAAAATAAGTATGCTGAGAATAACTCATGTTGAGTAGTAGGAAATCAAATTGTATTCAGCCTTCGTTTTGTATATTGTTTGGATATCCTGTGAAGGTTGCTGACATTTGTCATATTTGGGAGAAACCCTTTCGGCCATTTCTGTTGACTGCTGAAGGGTACGAACGGATACGC